AAAAATCAAGAAGCTTAACGGGAGCGACTTACAACTTTTCTTTTAAACATTGTAATTGCTACAAAGTAATCTTGAAAATAGTATTTAATTTCAAAATAGTTTATTAAAATTTTTTTAGAAAAGTTTTTTAGATTTATTAACGATGATAGCATGTATTACGACACACTATTAGTTATAATATATTCTTGTTGTACCAAAGATGCATGCAACGCATGCAACGACGACATGCGCAGTTTAATATTTTTTGATATAAGCCTCGTAAAATGTCCCAAAAACGATTTTATTTTTTCACTTTCAAAAAAAAAAAAAAATTTGAATATCCGCATCAGCCGACCCACATTAGTAGACATTCCCGACATTCAATCAATGTTTTAAAAGAAAAAAAAAATTTTTTTTTCTCACTTAATAGATATTATGATATAATGATAATGATCTATTTACCATTATGATAGATCATATGATAAAAATTCCAAATAAACTCCCGCGATGTGCAAAATTCCATAACAGAAAATCAATACTTTAAAAAAAAAAAAATTTATTGATTATTTATTTATCTCAAAAAAAGGGGAGGGGGTAAAGTCTCCGTAATTTAATCGTTATCATTACTGCGGCTTTCAAAAGTTTCTTTTACAATTATACTGCGCATTTCTTTTTTCCGCGCGTCTTCAAAAGTTTTTATTGGCTTACCGCTTTTGTATCAGATTTTATTTTTTTTTTCAAAAATTTTAAATAGCAAGTTATTAAATTTGGTACTCCCTAATTCTCCACAACAGGCAAACAAAGAATCTCACAAAGAACAAATCTTACTGTTTTAAAAACTTTATCGTTTCATGTAAATCAATTATAGAGTCAACAATTATGAACTAAACAGTACCCGAGTATAATTTAAAACAACCCAATTCAACAAAGTTGTAATTCTTTTTTGATTGATTAGAAAAAAAATTTGCATTATTTTTATTATTTTATACTTACCATAATAGTAAATGATATGCAAAAAAGGTAAGTTAAAAGGTTTGAATCAGTTATTAAATTTTCATTCATTCCCATTCAATCGTAACTTAAAATGAAAATACAATAAAGTGTTGACTCAATTTTGTGATTCTTATTGCTGTTTACTTGTTTATAATTATATCAATCGGTGAAAATATCTATTCATAAATTATGTGACATTCATTCGTAATATTGGTAAAGATTGGCATGTGTATTATTACAGTCAAAACTCGAAATAACAAATGTTATCCAAATTATACCGGTATGCGTTAAAATTATAAAAATTTCTAGTCCGATAATCGAACGTTAAGTGACTCCCAGCATTAGGAATTATGAGGCAGAGTTATCAAATTAAGAAATTCAACATATCGATCATTTATTCTGATCTCACGTGATAAAAAAGTAATAACGTAATAAAGGAACGTAATCCATCAAAAAATAAAAAATTTAATTTCAGCTGTGGTTCATTCATAAACCTTATCTCGACATGAGCTCAATCGGAACTGGTGTAAGTTTTCTTAACAAAACTTAAAAAAGCAACATTATTTTTTTTTTTCGTTCACCTTTTGAATTTTGCTCACTTTTACGTTATATATATATATATATAGTATGATCTTTCCGTGTCCACATATTCACCTGACGGTCGCGTTTTTCAGGTTGAATATGCTGCAAAAGCCGTTGATAACAGCGGGTACTTTTTTTATTTTAGTCATGTTACCTTGAATTGGTAATTAGTTATCTACCTTCTCAAGTGGTAGTAAGACATTATTATTATTTACTACTATTGAAGTTTTTTTTATTGTACATAAATTTTTCATAAAATAGAACTGCAATTGGTTTGCGTGTAAAAGATGGCATAGTATTGGCAGTTGAGAAGCTTTTACAATCAAAATTGTTGGTACCGATTTCGAATCGTTTAATTCAAACCGTCGATACTCATATCGGGGTGGTAAGTAACCATGCTTCTTACTTTAATGGTTTTGCCTCTAATTAATCCGTTCTTATAACAATAGGCAACGGCTGGTTTATTAGCAGATGGTCGTCATATCATCAATCGAGCTAGGGATGAAGCAGAAAGTTTTCGAAATAATTACAGAATTCAAATTCCTGGCAAGGTATTTCAATTACAAACCCTTTTTTTTTTAAAAAAATAAAAAATAAAAATAAAAATAAATAAATAAAAAGAAATTGATTTTAAATCATTTTTCATTTCTAATAATAGACTATTGCTGATAGAGTAGGTCAATACGTACAAGCCTATACATTATATTCTAGTGTTCGACCATTTGGTAGCAGTGCTATCATAGGAGCTGTTGATAACGAAGGGCCACAACTATATATGATCGAACCATCTGGTGTATACTGGGTGTGTTTAACAAATTTTAGAATGATTTTTGAAGGCATCTAAAAGTTGTTTTTTTAATGTTAACTTTAACAACATAATATTTTAGGGTTATTATGGTTGTGCGATCGGTAAGGGTAAACAAGTGGCAAAGACAGAAATTGAGAAACTTAATCTTTCCGAGTTATGTGTTCGCGATGCTGTAAATGCAGCTGCCAAAATGTAAATGAATTTTCTTCGATTTAACCTATGTTAATATATAAAATTTTAACATCTTTCTTTCCTTTATTTCATATCAGCATTTATACCGTTCATGACGATTCGAAAGATAAAGCATTTGAATTGGAATTAAGTTGGATCACAAATGAGACTAAACGACATGAATTTGTACCTAGAGAGATTGCAGAAGAAGCTGAAAGATTGGCAAAGGTTTTTACTCTTAGTACATTTATGCATATATGTCCCTTTTTTTATCTAACAATAAATTTCTTTTTCTTTTTTTATAGGACTCGCTTAATGAAGAGATGGAAGATGATTAGATTAGATAGATAAAAAAAAAAAAACTTTTTTTATTTTATTAAAATCGGATTATAACTCACAAAGAATCAACGTTTTTGTTTTTGTTAATTTAAAAACAATTTTGACTATGGAAATATAAGTCAAAGGTTTTTAATATGAATAAATTAAATACTTTATTTTATAATTCTTTACGCGATGTAGAATCCATTTAAATTAATTGTTTTTAATAAAATGTTTAAGATAATCTATAATCTATTACTTACAAAGAGTCCAAAAATTTGTCTCCAATAATTTTTAATCCGAAGCAAATACTTCTCTACAATATAAGATTCCTAACAATGGTGGTCCTAAAAATAATCCAAACCAAAAGAATGCATTACCGAGCCATTTTTTTTCTTTAATTATAGGTAATTTGCTTAACCAGATTAAAGGAAGTTGAAGCATTTGTAAGAAAAATAAGTACATTCTGATTTTTTTAGATACTACGACCATAACAAGTTCATGTATTAAAGATGATAAAAAGAATGTCATAAATGTAGCATCTCTTTTAGATAATTTATATGACTCAATTGAGTATTGATACACGTGTCGTAATAAAAAGTGATGTACGGGTTTATTCCATTTTCTTGCGAATTCTTCCCATGTTGTACTGTTCCACCAGTCATCATAAAAATTACGATCAGCAAAACTAAAAAATATTTTTTTTTTAAAAAAAAAGGGAGGTTAAAATCAAAAATCAAACATATCTAATTACATCTATAAATATTTCTCTTACCAAGTTAATTCCGCAAATACGTTACAAATGCACTCGAAAATAATATAAAATATTAATAAATAATCCATCATAAATGGAAAAAGCATTTGCACCATGGTATGATAAAATGAAGTTGAAACATTAGGAAGGATGGGAATTATATATGTTTCGGTATTTACGTATAAAAGGAAGAATGTTCCAAAGGTTGCCAAAATTTTTTCAAAAAGATACCAAGGACGAATTCTAAAAAAAAAAAAATTA